CGTAGAGCAAAGATCGAGCCCTTTTCCGAGTTCTCCGCTAAGATATCTCGAGGCCGAGTCCTCGCGTTTGTGCATTCGCGCGTATCGGAGACCGAGTTCTCCGCTAAGATATCTCGAGGCCGAGTCCTCGCGTTTGTGCATTCGCGCGTACCAGAGACCGAGTTCTCCGCTAAGATACCTCGAGGCCGAGTCCTCGCGTTTGTGCCAGAGACCGAGCTCTCTGGCTAGATACATCGAGGCCGAGTCCTCGAATTCGTGCGTACCAGAGACCGAGTTCTCTGGTAAGATATATCGAGGCCGAGTCCTCACGTTCGTGTAATCTTGAATAAACAATTATTAAACGAAACTAGTGTATGGACTTAAACTCCCATACACGCAACAGAACCAAACAACTTTTGTTCGAAACCTTTTTCCGTATCTTTCATATTTTTGGAGATATTTGCGTAGATCATTTAAAATAAGACACCCTGTATACTGGTATCAATACTTACGCAAATGACGAAAGGACGCGTTTATCAAAATCAGCCACTTCATCATACCACGATTGTATCATGTCGTCCACACTAGTGTCATCTTTATTCGAACTAGATTCCTCGGCTATATTTTGGCCAACTTCGAATCTTTCTACAACAATAAATAAATATATAATAATATGTGATTAGAAACGTAATTGCATAGATCAGCGTTTTTCAAACTTTTTAGCTCTGTGGTATCTCAAAACGTAAAAAAATTAACACAGTTAAAGAAAAATTCGCATAAGAAATTTTATAAAATTTCGCGACCTCTCTGTTATGTATCGTGACCCTCTTAGAGGCATAGATGTATAATATAAAAATCTGAGGGCCCGTCAAGTCGTGTACTCGCGTAAACTTACACGGTCGGTCTCGCGCGCGTGGTATAGCTTCGCTTACACTTGGCGCGAGACACTACCGTGTCTCGTGATAGACTGCACGTTTGAAGAAGTATGTATGTACATGTTCTTCCTTGCTATGTATTCTTGCTATATCTATGCTTGGAGGTTGCGACTCCCCGTTTGAGAAATGCTGGCATAGATATTACTCACCTACGTCGTTACAGTCATCATGATCGTAATTGCACTGATTGGCCCATCTTTGCGCAATTGTCTCTAGTTCTTTGTCCCAGGTCTGAGAAATAATAAGTGAAAATTAAATATATTGTTATTCGCATTATGACATTGACATGGGATTACATTTTAACAGAAATCGGAACAACATTCTTTTCTACATTTTTATATTATGTATGTGTGCCATGCACACATCCATATTCTCATGCACGTCCTGCTATTATATTATATAAAATGATAAAAATGATTTACTACAAACTCTGTCACAAATTATAAATTTGTGTGTAAAATGTAGATTTTTTGTATATTTAGAGTTTAAGATGCGTACAAATTAGGATTGTACAATTATAAAATTGGGGGAAAGAGTTGCACCTTATGCAAAATTTAAACTTGGATTGATAACAAACTTATCCGTCATAGTTCTTCTTCATTTTGGAGAATTAATTTAGTTTTGCGCGTCAATTAGAATAGAAATGTTTATAACACGTTTATAACACCAAAATATTGTAGTCCTATTAAATAATATATTATTCATTATATCTCACCAAATCCGGCATACGAACCGCCGCCGGTTGCGGGCCATTCGATCCTCTCTTTTCCTTACCCGATGCAACCTTCTGCCTCAGTTGATTGTGTTTATCTACTATAGCTTTCCTTTCAGCATCACTAAAACCTTGATCACTCCATTCCTTGCATGCTTTCGCCGGTTTTGGCGACTGTAATATGATATTATAGGATTAACTATGTGCAATACAAATTAAAATATTAAGTACTTTAATAGAGCAAACAGTTTCAGCTATAAAGCTCTTATTGTTAGTAAAATTAAATTTCAAATACCCGGAATAATTAAAATAACTTTCGATATCTACTTAAATTTAAAAGAAGAAAAAGAAGAATTTTACCTACGCTAATCAACTGTATAACAAACATTAATTATATATAGATATTTAATTATATACCTACATAAATAATGTATGTATTACGTACATACATAATTTTACTTACCGTGTAGGTGCACATGGTATGAATGCCTTTCTCTTCACATGATTTTAATTTGCAGTAATCTGTCGCAAATGTACCAGCAAAATTTTCCGTTACTATGACAAGAAATAATATATTGAAAATTAGTGCCATGATTTTCAATCTGATTTTTTTAACGTTCTCGTTGGCTATAGACACAACTTCTTGCAAAGTTACAAAATTTAGAAAACTCGGCTTTGAATCGAAACGAAAATTCTAACTTATACTCTACGCTTTATCATTCGACAACGTTATCATTATTATTACTGCTTTGATATTATTTTTTAATACAATTTGCGTGTACTTTATTCTTCTTTATCTTTATTCTACATTACGATTGTTCGTGACGGAAATTCATGTAATTTCAGATCGGTGTAATCTTCGTTTTTTTGTTTTACCTTCATAGAACGATTATTATTGTCGTTCGTATTATTGTCGAACGATATTGTCATTCAGTTAGAAAATTGCAGAATCTTAAAATAATTTTATAATTAATTTTAGTACAATAAGTACATTTTATTAATTAATAATAAAAATAATTTTGTTAGTAATTTTAATGAGCGAGTGGAATAATACTTTTAATTTTGTAAAGGTGTAAATTACTAAACGTTTATTACTTCTAAAACTATGTTATGAAAAACAATACATGAGATAATAGATAGTTGTAAAACTTTGTGATAATATGAAACACTGGTATACATTTATTATAAAACTAAAACACTTCCTCTTAAGTTTACATGGATCGTTTGTTACACACGGATCGACATGTATGGTACTCATTAAATTACAAGTTATGGGCTAAAAGTGAAGACTTATTAAATTACAATGTCTTAACTTTGCATTGAAAGTAAGATACTTTTTTTGGCTTAAGGACTAAATTTGGAAAAGAAATATATAATTTAAAAGGGATTATAATTTAAGGGTGAAGACACATGTTCTGATAAAAATTTCAAAATGTTTATTATTTCGATTGTCAGACAGAAGTTTTGTAGACCATGGAAGTAGGAATTGAGGAATGAGTTCATCCTCGCTTTCACGTTTTAGAACGAAGAATTGTGAAATGTGAAGATCTTTTTCTTTGTTAACACTATTATGACATTTGTAATGATTCTTTATTGATAAGACATATCGTTTTATATTTATCTTCGCACTTTTTTGTTTCTCTTCGTGTCACGACTTTGTAAATGACTCGCTATTTATTGGTACTGAATGGTTCTATTGCTTAATTTCATATATTTGCTGACCAATGTAATTTCCACTTGGACCATAATTGCAAACTAAATAATGCGTAGTCCAGTCTTTTGTTTTTTTATATGATATTTTTCCGCAACCGATTAATCGTGTTTTAGCCCAAATGAGTTGAGTGTAATGGCCTGTCTTCATACTGAATCTGCAAATCCATTAATTTCTCTTATTAGAAAAAATGCCGCAACAGATCTATAAATACATTTTGCATATTATTATAAATAATGCTATTGTAATGATACTTTTATGCAAGTATTTCTCCGCTACTTTCTTCATATCTAAAGTTCTTGGCAAGTTCTAAAGAAATTATTTAAATGTATATGTTTATCACAATTATGTATTTATAAAATTTGAATGCGTCATTAGAACATTGAGTATTTGAGATACTTACTGATATGGGGAAATTTGATTTTTATCAAATTTCTTTACTTCATTATACCACATTTGAATCATATTTTCCAAATTGGGGGTGCTTTTACCTGTAGAGGACGACATAGCTATGTTCTGGCCAACCGAGAACCTATCTGCAAAGGCATACAGATAGATTTATTAATAAATAGAATGCCGCTAATACAATTCACAATTACTTACCTATAAACGTATTCCTATAAATTACTTACCCACATTTCTACACTTGTCATGATTGAAGTCGCACTGATTGGCCCATCTTTGCGCAATTGTCTCTAATTCGTTATCCCAACTCTAACAACAAGAAACGTGTGTGTTATACTAATTAAAAAATATATACGTGCATACATATACGTATAATACATAGGTACGTCAGGGCCAAAATTTGGAACAAAGCTCTTTTCATAATTTTGTCTATCATTATGTGTGCATCATCGTGTTTCATGAATGTATTCGTAAATATTTTATATTGTTATCGTATTTTTCAAATATTTATATATGGACGTTCTTTTTTAATCACGTGACATATAAAATTATCCTTTAGATAAAATTTTATTTTTAATTTTGATTAGATTGTACAAGTTTGTAGTTTAGTATAACGTTATTACTCCCAGTGAGAAATGATTCGTCGATCGAATCGACATCGAATCGACATCGACACCGTCGAATTGACGTCGATTCGACATCATTTCGACGTCGATCGACGAATCATTTCTCACCGGGCTGTGCACAGTGCTAACAATCAGAATTTCTGTTTCACGTAAGGAATATTTGAATGCTAAGTATAGCATTTTAAAATAATTAGAGAATCGTTCAACGATTTTATTACACGTGAATTTGTTGACGATAACGATTCTACCTAACGAAAACCTGTGTTATATGTATGTCCGAAAGTAACGGCGCGTAGGACAGGTTGGAAAAATACGGCATATGAATTTACATATTAAATTTATAATTATTAGGCTACCTCCAGCTTATCCGGACCTAAGTATGATTTGGCGTTCTCGTTTATATTTGAAGTTATGTCTTAAAAAGGTCCTGATTTAACTTTAGTGGAATATTGTAATTTTGGAAAACATACATTGCATTTTTACATCAGAGTCATCGTAATAAATGCAATAAAATTGATATTCTTTGTTTCGCTTTTAAAACATTTAGAGAAAAATATTGCTCGGATAAAATCAGGATACAAACAATTGCCCAATGCTTTTTCGATTTCACATCTTTTACATATTTTATATAATCGAATAATATATTATACGTTATGTCTTACCAAATCCGGTATGCTAACCGCTGCAGGTTGTGGACCAGGGTTCCCTTTGGTCTCCTGACCCGACGCTACTCTCTGTCTCAATTGATTGTGTTTCTCCACTATGAGCTTTTTCTCAGCGTCACTAAAACCTTGGTTACTCCATTCCGTGCAACTTGCTGCCGGTTCTGATGACTGTAATATTACATTTTAAGATTAACTACGCATTAATAAAATCTTTAATAAAGATTATTTTAATAAAATCTTTAATAAAGATTTTATTACTAATGTTTTCAGAAAAATATAATATAAAAGAAAAAGTTTTTAATGGATGTAATTGCAGTTATAATATATTCATATATTATGAATTTTTATTAAATTAGACAAAAGAAAAAGAAATCTACATAATCCATAGTACATATGATTATTTTACTTACCGTATACTTGCACATGGTATGAATTTGGTGTATATTTTTACATGATTTTAGATTACAATAGTCTGTCGCAGATATACTAGCAAATTTCACTACCATAGCAAGACATAATATACCAAAAATGTTTGCCATGGCACCTTTTCTATTTAAATTTTTATACAATTTCTGAAATAACCCTGGTGAGTTAGTTCCTGCAACTAATATATAACAATTTTTACTTTGAGCGGAAATAGAAATCCTAATTTATATGCTACGCGTTATCGTTCGACAGCGTTATCGATGACATTGTCTTTAACATTACCTTTATACGATTTCCTATTTTGGTGTTTATTTTTATGATTGCTTTATTTTATGATTGTTCGTGATGGGAATATATCAAACTTTCTTTAACTTTTATCCTTGAAATAATATTATCACCACGTATTGCACAATTGTAAAATTTACGACTTATCTTTTAAAAAATTCTAGTTTTCCTAGGTTAATTGATATTAAGATCCCTAACTCTTACCAACAGTGCTGTTGTCATTGTGTAGGTATCTCACATAGTACATAATATTACGTAATATATCTGTGATATTACAATATTGCAGTAACATTACATATTGCCATGTAATATTACAGTAATATTACTGACATAATACATTTATATAATACATCGCAATATTACATTAATATTACTAATAAGTTACATAGAAATATTACACAGTAATATAACAGTAATATAGATGTTTTCCTTTTTATTCTACCTTTTATTGTCCTCTGCCGATCACCAGGCAGGTAGGTTGCTGTCGTTCCGGCAGGCTCCATATTTCAATAGTCGGACAGCTTAACTTTGGGTTACTTGAATGCCCTCCGATTACATCCCGAGGAAAGTCTATCCTAATCTTTCTGGTTACACCGATAATTCGTTGCTAAGTCGACTGCATTCATCAATAGTTGTAACCTCATTTGTCACCATCTCTACTTTTGTACTTGCCGCGCGGGCGTCAGATAAACGGATTACTCTGTTTCAAGTCATCATTTTTGCCAGGCAAACTTAAAATAACAACTTTCGAACAATTTAAATTTATTTAAGCGATATTTTTCTGCGCGCAATTTGGCAACTTGATTACCCACATAGCACATAATATTACATAATATATCAGTAACATAATAATATTGCAGTAATACATATTGCAGTGTAATATTACAGTAATATTACCAATATAATTCATTTATATAATACATTGCAATATTACATTAATATTGCTAATATGTTACATAGAAATATTATACACTATACAGTAATATAACAGTAATATTGCTGCAGTATATCAGATCCAAAGTAGCGCAAGATTATATCAAATGACTTTTTAATTACGTCTCGTTACGTTTTATTACGTCATTAAGATGACACGAAGATGTTATTTAATGTTACGTTGCTATTTGGTACTTTCCAATGTCCCATACAGTACAGCAAGGTTTCAGCAACATTGTAGCAATAATTAATCGCAAGATTGCAACATTGCCTATACGCTGCGAAATGTTGCTGCAACACTGCTGCAATCTTGCAGCAACGGTAAAATGTCCGCCTTCAGAAATATTACAATGTAATATTACAGCTACATAGCAATATAATGCATGCATAATATACAGGGTGAGTTATAACATTTGTCCACGAGCTCGTGAGAAGGTAGAACGGATCGAGATGAACAGAAAAGTCCTGAAACATTTTGCAATTTTCGCAATAGTTAACGAGAAAAAAATTATCGAAAATCGTCGTCTTTGCCCTGCCCACTGTCCAATTCGAGCGCGTAGCGAGATGTGACCGCCCGGCGATCGATATTGCCTGGCGATGGGGGG